AGCCGAACTGCGCCGAAGTCTGTTCAATAAAAAGGCTAAATATACAAAAAGAAGGAGAGAAATCACTGACCTGTATGAGAAGGGGCCAAAGGAAGCACGGCCGTGGTCGTGAGACAAAAGCGAATGGCAACGAGACAGTGAGCGAGATGATGTGCGTCACACACCACGCCAACCTTCCGAATCCACCGTCCAAATACTCGGCCACACAACCACGAATTCCCCACAATGAATGAAATAGACCGATATCGAAAATAATAGCGTCGGCCGCTTCCAACGGCAATGAACCCTCCAAGAAATCACAGCGAAGAATCTGAAGGAATACTGTGTTAGGCAGATCCCCGGGAAATTTCTTTTGCATTTTTTGCTATTTATTGGATAACAATCGATTCCTTGAAAAGCGCTTAGCTGGCAGCTCTATGGGTGGGCGGCTTTGACTGACTCTTTGCCGTTTCTCCATTTAATAGGCTCAACCCGTGATGTGTGAGCAACTGCGTTGAACTGCGTCCCCGGGGAGCTATGGGATGTCATATTTCTGTCATCGAGCAAGGTGGCCATCTTAGAGTTCATCATCTTCGACTATTCGCGTAGGCGTTGTGCTCAGTATGGAGAAACTTTTGATTGGTGATTTTCTTGTCTCGGGATTCCAGGCGCGCTGAGAATCCCCCCTGCCCTCCCCCTCTTTGCTCGAGGAGGGAGGCTTGTGTATAGAAAATGCTCCATCTCGATGGTGTCCCCCTTAGGACCTCAAAGCTCGGCTGCAAATAGCCGACTAATGTGACACATCAAGAACAGTGACTAGCAGATTCACTAGCCAGATAGAGGAAAATGAGGTCAAGAATATGGTGTAGAGGCAAAAAGCGTCTCCACATTGACCAGACCATGGATCAGATCTCTACCAAGGTCAAATGAACCAGCACTTATAGCACTATCGGTGTCGCTCGACTGGGTTGCTTGGGAGACTGACCAATATATTAGCTAGTTCAGTATTAGAATGCCGATAAAATACCTCTGCGATTTTTAGTACAAGTCGAGTATGTGGCGCATCTCAGCGCTGATTATGACCACTCGAATATCTATAGTTCAGATAACCATAGATGTAATGCTGCAGTATGTCACTGAGTGCCTCAAGTTGACCGCGTCTCTAGCCGGGGAAAAAATCGTTTTGAAGAATCCTCGTAGGGTGTGGCTGAAGTCGCACATAACGGCAGTTTTTTTAGTGGACTTGGGAAGACGGTGTAGGATGTCGCAACCGTGGGGGCCACAATGGGGAGACATCTCGGTGAACATTGACCAGTCTGACCTAGGAAGCTGCAGCACAGGACGCTAGCCCACTGGGAACTCCAGGCTTGTGAGCCTTAGCTTTCGTTCAAGTCTTTTACCTACAATTTTGCATTCTTGCGCGATAAAAACCCAACTCGTACGGAACAGCAATCTACGGGGCATCGGTAGTGATAAGTGCCTCCATATTGAAGTATCCTTCCCATTCGGCTCGAATAGGACACCACCGAACTGCCCTCCGAGAATTTCGTCAAAGTTTCGGTCGATAAGGGCTTGGATTTCTAGGAGTATGTAGCCTTTGAATCCCCGTTGAGTTAGGAAATAGCCCTTTTGCCTGGATCTGCGAAATCTCGGCGAAGGATGCGAGCCACCCATCATGCAGGTTAGCTGAGCATAGTACTCGCGAACCTGGTCTTCCAGACCCTCAGGGTTGAATAATTCCCGGGATAGTGCTAAACCTAACTAGCGCGGGATTTCACTTCGTGTCGCTGCTATAGAGCGAATACGGTAGCATGCCATTAATTAGTTTTTATTACCACTGCTTACCATTCAGTGCCTCATTTTTAAAAATTTGGGCCCGTAATTTATGCCAGAAATCCTTTTCTTTGGGTTCATATACGTGCTGATCGTGAAAATAACATCAATTTGAGCAAAATACGCTACGACTCGGTGTCCGGGGAGGGAGGACGGGTTAGAATATTCTGGATAATTTGACAGGCAACCATATTCCTGGAGATAAATTTCGGGACAAACCTGGACTGATTCTTGTAGAAGGTGCTTTGAAGGGTGAACAACGAGTGCCCTTGCTGCTCGTAGAAGAAGGCAGAGAGAAACATCATTTAATCAGCTTGTGACCCACCAAGGGTCTAGGAAAGGGTCTACAGGTTAGGATCATTCTAAATACAAGAGCTAGCTAAGGAGGGGGGGGAGCATTTAATTGACTCTGTATGGAAAATTGATCTGAGCTGAGAAGATCTGCACGAAATTCTAAGGGAATAACAACTTTCTGCAGACAACAAGGAGGAGATTTTTTGTCACAGCCAGGGCATGTCCTGTCGTCGGGGAGAATTTTGCCCCCTTAGAATTTTTTTCTCTGGTACAACCCCCCCCTTTCCCATCCTAACTACCATCTTCCCGAATTCTTCTCAATTTTTTATCCACTTTTCTTTAGAAAGTTTGCTCCAAAAATGCTCAAAGGGTGAGAGTGAAGTATTGGGCCACGGAAGCGGTATATACCTACAAAAGTCAGCAGCTGTTTCTCAAACGCAAAACGACCTCCCTCCCTTCCCTCCAGCAACCAAATCCGACCGTCTTGCTAGAGATCCCATTGTACCGCGTGCCCTGATTTCAGTGAGTTTCGTAGACGAAATCCTCTCCTTTGAATGCCCTTTCCTATTTGCTCTTGTTAGTCTTTCCGCTTTATCTAGCCTTGATCGGTCCTGACCAATTTGGAAATTTTCTACGAGGAGGGGCAGAAATAGACACAGAAAATTGTGATTGAACCCTTGGTTGTTACATATGACAGCCGTGAAAAAGTGTGTAAATAATCCCAGCGTCCTCACAATTCTATCCACCAAGCCTTTTTGTTCCCCGAATCGCCCCCGCCCTCCCCAAAGGTTTCACCCTTTCCCTTCCTATGCAATCGGGGGTTTCAATTGTTGCACTTTTGAATTGTCCTTATATGTATCACCTCAAGGACGTTTAATCTGACAAGTTTGAAAAATTCCATTCAAGTTAAATGCTATCGCCAAATAGCATCTTTTTCCCGATCTGCACGAAAAGTGTCCAAAAGAAGTGGGCTTGTTCAAAAGAAGCAAATCTGGCGCCGGGTTTTTCCCCTCGCAGCGACTCCCGGGATAATTAATCATCTTCCGCCTATAACCTACAGCACAGCCCCATGTGCCCTCAACGTCAAAAACTGGATTATGTCGTAAGTGGGCGGGACTTTTAATGCACGTGTCCGTGTGGGAGCGCTAATGAGCCGATGTTTAACAGAGGCATTGAAAAGGTCTTCCGGCGGTCATCGAACTCCCAGGCGGAAACGAATTGGATTTAAAACATGCGGCGGTCAAAAGTTGAATTTGGAACGATTTTCTGGGGGAAGGGGTTAGGGAGGAGCCAAGAAGTGTCAATTACCTTGTGATAGTGAATGAACGAATGGCAGTGTTGAGCAAGACCCCATATACAGACGAGGGCCTGCAGTAGCCCAATCCAGAGACAGATTTGTGAATTAAGAAAGCGATGTCCGACTAGTTTCGTCCACTCGTCACGCACCGTCACCAATCCCATCAATGGGGGGCAGGTGAGCTGGGCCGCCGAGCAGTAGCAGCTGCTGGACGACGAGAGGCGACCGTGGCTACGGCAGGAGCTGGACGAAGTCGACGAGGCTGCTCAGCGGGACCTCTGAGTCGGTGGTGGTGGTCGTGGTGGTGATGGCAGCGGCTCCTCACGCCTCCTCCCCGTCCGCCGGACGTCTTCCAACGCTCCTCCTAGCGCGTATCTTTCATCTATGTACACGGCGCTGTCAATAACTCCCCAGGGACACAATAGAATTTATCTTATCACACATTTCGCACACAGCCCGCTTCCACACACAGTGTGGGGGGGGGCATACAACAAACATATGAAATGAAGAGCAAATAATTCCATTAGGAAAACGAACAAAAAACATGAAAACGCGTAAAATCGATAAACCGGAAAAAAGATCGACAAATTGAGACTCATCTTGTTAACAATTATGTGTGTGTCTGGTATAGCACAATTAGTCGGAATCGATGACATTGACAAACGGAAAACCGTGCGGCATTTGCGAGATTCCTTGCGGCAGTGTTTGAACGAAAGGTGTAGCAGAGGTACGCTACCGGTTAAGTCATGATAGATAACGTGCCGTTAATAGATTAATGAAGTGACGTGTTTTTTAATAGTATAATGGCGAAGGAATCAGTGGTGACGTCAACGAACACGTAATTAACGTGCTATGTGACGTCATTGACACGTCATCTACCCCTTAACATGTAACATACAGGACTGCGTACCTGTGCTACATCAGCGCCTCTCAACATCTAGTATTACATTTGGTGGCCCAATATGAACTGGGCCGACAACTTAAGGTTACCTATACGGCCAGTCTTTTTTATGATCCAGTCGGGGTCAACTCGTCCAGTTAGGGGAGGGGGCTTAAGATACTGGAACTACAAACTTGCTAACGTGTTAAATGCTCGAGAAATGCTTGAAATGGGAAATCGTTGTAGCTGTTTTAATCACCGAAGCCTTTAATATTTACTACATGCTAAACTACGGGCAAGACAGTCGTAATTTGGCGCGTCGTTACGTGCGGCGTATCGTGGGGCGATGCGCAGCAAATTCTGGATGCTCACCGGTTTGTCGACTAGAGCGACGAAATCATGTGAACCCAAGCGGAGGAAGATTCCATGACGAGCGAAATCGAACTATTCCATCTCTTCCTCTGAATGCAAACGCCCACCGGAGTGGCGTATTGCAACTGTCTTGTCACATACCCCTGAACAGAGAGGCCTACACTTCACTCGTTTTTAGAACCGCTAAACGAATTGCAACTTGATTTCCCAGGTATATTGGCCTCAGGTAAAAGCTACTCGAACGGGAAAAGCAGACGCCTAAACCTAAGCAGTGAGCTGACAATGTCATCGAATCCAACTTAAAAGATATGTACAATAGATGACTATCGATCAATTCAGAGAGAATCACTCCATAGGCTCGGTTTTGACGAGAGTGGCTGAAGGATGAAGTTGATCGTAGGTGGTCATTGAAAGCAGATTGTGTTCTGTGGCTGTGTCGAGCTGCTGCTGTTCCGTGTTGCAGAGTTCGTTGAGCACTGGCAGTTGATTGTTGAGCATTTGAAAAGCGGGTGGGATCAGCGACAAGTTCGATGGCGCCGTAGTGGGCAACAGCTGGGATGCTAAAGAGGCCATCGTCAATTGGCTAGCCTCAGTAGCACTGGCAGGGATCGTTGTGGGTTGTGATCCCGTGTTGGCACCACTGTCACCCCCACCACCACCACTGTTGAAGGGCGCGGCGGCAAGATTTTGGCTTGCTGCCAACAGGTGCGACGCCAACGTTGCTATAGGTAGCGCTTGAGAGTACGTCGTGTCCACTGATGAAGAGTCAGCAGCGGTGGTTGCTGCTGCGGCGGCCAGTTGTGGAAAGGCGATACCGAGCCGGGCGGCCAACGCCATCACATCCAACGGACGAGTCTCGACTTCGGTCTGATCCATCGCCTCGGCTTCTTCCATGATTGGAGAAGGAGTCGATCCAACACCGGAACTCTGAAATTCACGACGATTTGCGGACTCAAAATCGAAAAGCATAGTCAAATCGGCGCAGTTTGGCGATGAGCGAGCATTTTGCACCTTCGCTGCTCCCCTTTGTTATGTTCATACTAGTATACTATATGGCCACACGAGATTTCATAGATCCCACTTCATGGCTCGACGGGATAATGGGAAGCAGCAAAAGTGCAAAGTGCCCCCCCACCTCCATCGCCAAACTGCGTCAAATCATTTGCAGCAGGGTCACGATTTGTGTCAGGAAGCTGTTTAGACCTGTCTTTTGCAGGAGACCACTATGATCGCCTAGCGGCTAATGCTCTATTGTGTCCGTGCTATCCCAATCAATGGTGCTCCGAGTCCATTTAGATTCTGCCGCGGTTCGGCTTAGGGGGGGGCACCACATAGTACTCAGCAAAGCTTTTACAGTCTACTGTGTGTGAATACTTGTAAATTCTTGTGAGCAGTGTGGTTAACTTACGCCCATTCGCAGCTTCACAAGTTTTCACAGGTTCCTGTGGAACCCATGAGACCTGTTAATTCACATGAACTAACAAAAGAAACTATCAAAAGTGCAAAATGCCCCCCCCTAGGCCGACCAGTGCCCAGATTCCTAGCTGGCAGGTTCAAAAATCCAACCGGATTCCAGACGTTACAAAAGGGTAACTGATTCTGAATGTTCCGAGAAGGATCGGGCTCATTGAGGCCATTGGAAGCACAGGCACGTTGGGCCTTACTTTTACCCGAATACTTCAAGGTTAGAGGCTGCCTGCTTTACTTCCATTCCCGTGTGGGTCCTTCATTCAAGACTACCTATACGTGTTTGCTGGGTCCGGAAGGGAAAAGGGAACCTCGGACTGATTGCTGCTCTAGGATGCCGAATCCCGCTATGATTGCTACTACGAGTGGCCAAAAAAGGTTAGAAACTGGTGTTCTCGCGTGCCAACCGGAAGACCCACGGTGCGATGATACGGCTCTGGAAGTGATGCCATGAGCATGACGTTTGCGTCGGGATCTAATTGAGTTAATGCGAAAGTGCTACTGCCCTATCGAGTCATCTAGTTAGGAAACAGTGCCCTGGCATAGGCGCATCCCGAAAGAGAAGTGAGCGCTTACTTTTCACCCCGGCCCAAGGGAGTTCTTGGTGCTTATGGGTTCAAAATTGTTGCAACTGAAAATAATACTTGAGCACATACCGTGGCCTCCTCGTTGCCCGCTTTGACCAGGAGTTTGTGGCTGGCTGCTCGTAGTCGGACCGGCAACAGCAGCCGCCTGCTCACTGGCTTCCTGTGAACGCCGCCGTAATTCCTTCCGTTTGTTGGCAAACCAATTGGCGACCACTTGAGGTGAGACAACTTCTTTCGGCATTAGACCGACACCTAAACAAGTAATTATTGCGCTCTCACCGCAAAATTACTAGTACAAAAAGCTACTAGGTACTGGTGACAGTTATGGGACTTGAAGTAGGCGCACCGGTTACTACTAGTGCGGTTACAACGAGTTCCATGCTCACTGCAGACGCGGAGGGCGTGATCAGGGGATTGCGCTTGCGCGCGACAAGTTTTCCACCAGTTGTTGTGCTTGCCGGCTTCGGCAGCTGGCGGGGAACGGGCTGGCGCCGTGCCAGACCTGACTTCCTTGACACGCCCCAGGTCTGCAGCTAAAACGGACCCTGCTTGGAGATTAGAAGTCTTCCAGCACCTACATTCCCGTGGACAGATCGGGACAAATCTGGCCCACCTTTTTGGGAGTGAGGTTTCCAGCGACAAAAAATTGATGAAAAACACATTAGCGCGCCACAGCCCGACTTCCCCACCAACTCGTGTTTTCGGCTAGTCCGTTTGCCGAAAAAGGTAAAAGAACGAAGCTGCACTGTTGCAGAAACAACTCGCCTTCTCCCTCCCCTGCACAAGTTCCAGGCCGTCTCAACAGAGAAAAAGCACGTTAGCTAGCCTGCCAGATGTACAATGCGGACACTGAACCATTGCTTGCATGGATCCATTGGACTTCAGTCCTCGCCGAGTCCAACTGACCAGACGGCGCCCTCCAAAGATGCCAGTTCCCCCTAATTATTGAGAACCGAGTAGTCACAGCGTTGGCGGCGCAATTTGACGACGGGAGGGGGCATTTTGTACCCCCCCCCCCCCCCTCCCCCCCCCCCCCCCCCCCGCTCATTACTTCAGTCTAGTTCCAAGTTTACAAGTCTGACTCTGCGTGAAACCTGGTTAACAACTTGTGAAGCTTGGGGGAGAAAGGCCTCATCTAGCGCATCATTGGTATACCTTTCATCTCAAGAACGAGGGTACCTAGATAGGTCGAGACGTCTGTGGAAATAGCGAAAGTGCAAAATGCCACCCCTCCCCGTCGTCAAACTGCCACCGCGGTTGATTCCCATTCTAAGCAGTTGCATTCCAGCCGCATTACACGGGACCTGTGAACGTTTATGTCCAAACATATCAGGTCATGCGATGCCATGGATGTCCCCCCCCTTGGAACCCATTGTTTTCAAGGTCTCTTTTCCGGTTTCCGGTCAACATCAATATGCTCGCTGGGGGAAACGATAATGGGTTTGTTGAACAAGTAGAACAATTTTTCTGGAAGTTGTTTACTAACACTTTTGGCAGTTTAGTAGCAGCTCGTAGGTAGATGTCATGCTAGATCTTTGGAAGTGGGGAAGCCCTTGAGGCTCATTCTAGGCGACTAATCGTGGGGACGCGCTGACCACCAGCAGATTATCCCCTCGTCTGCCTTTGCCTTGGAATTGCTTAATTGGAGTGGGAGTGATCGGCAGTCAATATTCTGTGCAGAAAGATTTTTTGGGAGAGGGCATTTTTGCATTTTCTTATGAATTTCTTGTTGCTGTTCATTTGATTAACCAGGCTTTACACTTATGTAGGAGACTGTAAGATCTCTGTAAAGCTGCGAAATCGCGTTACAAGTTGAGGCGTTACAGGGTACAAAAAACTTACCAGCTTTACAGGTTTTCACGAGGTGACCTGCCCATGACTCGCTTATTCCCATTTGATGCCCCCCCCCAAACAAGCCGAACTGCGTCCAGCAGTCTTCTAGGGCCCAATACCGTTCTTTGACAACTGACCCCTCCGTGGGACTGCTCGGAATAGGCAGAACTGTGTTGGCTTGCCGGTCGGGTTAAGAATGACGGTCGACTGACCTTTCTAACCCAACCGACGTGCCAACCGGCCAATTCTTCCTATTCTGTGCTGTCCTTTTGGGGGATCAACTGTCAAAGTACAATCACGAGCTATTCAGGGGGACAATCTATGACTGTACAACACCAACAATAATACTATATTGTCAGCAATAATTCACGTCATCATCGACTAACTAGACGAATAATCGAACAATGCACAAAGGGGAAAACCGGCTGTTTGGCGAATTGTTGGGACAACAAGGGGGTGTATGGAGTGTGTATGCTATACAATGGAATGGTCTTTGCTCCAGAAGAACAAAACAATCCACAGTATCCACGCAATACCGTACCTCTTTTCTCGATTTGTAGCACTTGATTGCAAGCTGTGGCGATCTCGACTCGTTTATGGAGGTCCGGAAATGGTGACTGCGTGAAGAATCCCTCAAGAATCTTGATCAGAATCGGTCGGAACACATAGCGCTCCCTTCGTTGCGGGATCAACTCTCCGTCGCCATTCGTTTCCAGTCTCGTGGCTGGATCCGCAAAGAACACGGCTGAAATAACGCAATATTGCAGAATGCTCATCAATTGGCCAGTGAAGATAGCTTGGCTTGGAATTGTATGAAAAGAGCATGGAAGGTGAAAGAAATGAATAAGAGCAAGGTTGAAGACATGAACAGCAGACAAGTCCATCCAGCCGCCTCGCGAACGCACGCGCGGCTGTCATGTAATGCGGTCACGATCCTCCAAATGGCTCACTTTTCGAAATGTCCTTCAATAATAAGCGCGTGCGTGCGTTGCACCCCCTATATTGTGTAGCAATCGCTGAAGCGTTGAGGACCTCCCACAATGATTATGTGTTACCCACGAGTTAAATGCCCACGATTATCGCTTATAGCTTAGCTAGACTCACGGAATTAGGCGAAACATTTTCCGCAATAATCGGATGGGTGGAGACTCAGAAGCCCTCTCATAGCTCCCCTCATCTCCTCCGTGTTCTGAAAAAGAGGCACGTCAGTGAGTGAGGTGCGATTATATGACTTACCCCGCCCATACTGTGAGTGCGGAATATGTCAAATACGTGGTACTTCGGTTGTTCTGGAGAGCAAAAAGAAAAATTCCAAGTCAAACCCACGTTAATTGTATGGGCGGAGAGAGACTTAGCATTGTATCCTCAAGAACACATTTCGGGATGGTCTGGTGGGTGGAGAAATGGGTGGCAACTCCTAATTATTGTGCTCTTTTCATTAGCGCCCCTTCTCTCTGCCATTTCATTACCGTACAAGGATCAGGAAAGCACGATGTTCATGAGTGTGCACCATTACGATTATGGCTGCGTTCATACTTTGCGTCTCGGCGTTTCGAGCGAATCAGCGTTTTGGACGCCGATCGATACCCAGACTTTCCTTTTCGCTCAAAACGCCGATTCGCTCAAAACGCCGACCTGGAAAGTACGAACGCAGTCTATTGCGGAATGTGCCATCAACCGTGTACACTTCCACGCGCTCGTTGTGCACGTGCGCGTTTTCTTCGATGACGTCATCGCAACCTATCCAATTTTGGGCTAATTTTCAGTAGAAATACCTTGAGGTTCAAGGTTACCATATCACAAACTTTGGCAGTATCAATGGAAAAAAGTACTTCAGTGACTTACATATTATGCAGTTTCAATTAGTATCCCCGTTCAGTAATTTAAAATTAACACCCTCAACATTCAAACAATTCATTTTAATAACTAATGAGCAATTTCATTTAGTAAGGGCTGAATTGAAAATGAGAAGCTATTAGGATTTTTAAAGTTTAATTTGCTTAGAACATTCTAACACAGTTTTTTGAGGCGCACAAGAGTGTCTGGCTCAACGATGTGAACCTCGCGAGCGGTCGCGTCGCGTCTGGAGAGCGCCAAACACGCGGCCCGTATCACGTGGATTCCTTATGTTTTGGACACAGCGCCAACGTTGTTTAGGCGTTGAAAATTGCGAATCACACTGTTTTACGGGAGCGAAATATTCAAAACCGGTTCTAAGGAATGTTTTCGCCGAAGAACTAATTGATCGAGGACTCAAGAAGTTAAGTTCAAAGAATGTTGAGTGTTGATCAGCTCGTTAACACAAAACGTTCGGTTTTCGCCCGAAATGTTACTAATTTGAGATGGAGGGCAACCAAACCTTCTTGTTTTTGGAACGTTACAGTTTCGATCGCTGCGGACACAGGGGCATTTCAGGGAGGCAGGGTTTGGCGCGGTGCCAGCCAGTTTTCCACCAATCGTTGGCGCCCAGTAGCTTTCACATTGACGGAGACGGGGCTGGCGCCGCGCCAAACTCAGTCCCCTGGCACTCCCAGCATTTGCAACGAACAAGACTGTCTGGGGATCCTCAAGTTAGAACTCTCGCTCGATGGTTTGGTCCGCGTTCATACTTCGTGGAACGAGCGACTATGTCGCGCGATTAGAGAATCTCCCAATTGCGTTCGACCGCGCTTCATCGCTAATCGTTGAATCGCCACAACTTCTGATGAAATCGACACTATTCCATCAATTGGCAGTGGAGCGTACTTATTGCAAGCGCAGATTTTCAGAACCGCTGCTGAAGCGCTCAAGTAGAAACTATGAACACATCCTTGGATGAGGAGGAAGGGATTCGGTGGGTATGTGGCAAGAGGATCGTAATTTGCCGCGCCAGTGGGCGTCGCGTGCGACGTCGCGACCCCTAATGACGACGATTTGAGGTGGTATTGATCGAGAATCGGCAATGTACGACCAAAAATAGGCATAACGCCTACCATGTTCTTGTCCATCGTGAAATCCGATGCTCCAATCGAAAGGGTCGTGCAAATTGAGGAAGCGTCGCGCCCATCGCCGCGCGCGACGATGCGGCAATTTATGATTCTCTTGCCCGTTTCCCGGGATTCGGTATTACCTTAAGGACAGCCCCGATACCGTAGCTTTTGATACTACCCTTCTTCCGTAGGCCCTTCAGGTTCATTATTTAGCCCCAAAAGGGCATTTTTCCATTTTTCGCTACCTCCTTAGATAGTATAGCTTCTTAAAATCACTCATCATTATTGAGGAAAAATAAAAATGAATGAGTGAAATGAACGAAGGATAAGAAAATCCCCTTGGTCAAAATTCTCCGTCTGCCCCGCTCGAAGCGCTGCAACTCTTGCTCTTGACCGAATCCCCACTCCTCTTGCAGTACATGCCTCTTGCAGTATAATGCATGCCTAGCTCTTAGCAGCGACCCAAATAAGATCCCCTTCACAGTAGTTCGGACTCAACGATTCCACACTGTGCTCTGATTATGATCGTCTAGACATTAGTGCACTCACTGCTTATTATGGCTATATTATACACGCATATAGTCACAATTATCCACTTATTCAATCTTCACTCCTTACTATGAATCTGACGGAAGCGGTTTTGTAACTTGAGAAAGCTGTTTTAAATATGATTCCTACATCGAAGAAGAAAACTGACCCTATCTCCGGAGAAGAACGATCTCTTTTCAGAATGTGGCACGCATTTCATTTCCAGTCAGAATCGCAGTGGCTTATTGAATGCGATGTGGCCTATACAATGACTTGCGGGGGCCAGCCGATGTACAAGTCAGTGTTTTATCCTCCCAGACGAATCTGGTACCAATTTACCGTCCCCGGAGGGTAGAAGGCTTGGTTGGCCTGGGCGGGAGTCGACCCGGGATTTGAACCCAGGGACCGCGCACGTAGGAATGCTGCCAACTTCATCTTCTTTTGCAATACATCCCTTCATCCCCAAAATCCCCCACATAGGGTGGAGATGTAGAGCGTAGAGATACTTCTTTCTATCAGGATCAGTGAAAGTGCCGTGCCGCAGAGTTGGGAGGTGGGTAGGGGTGGTCAGGGCAGCTGCTTAACGACTGAGCCAATGACCTAATACCCCTCTCCAGCGACCGCTGTTGTGGATAGCACAAGCAAGGCACTTTACATTTTAGGGCATCGGGAGAGGGGGGCATTCGGTTACTAGAGGGAGTGCGCTTGGGGCAAGGGGAAATATAGTGTATGTGAAACGGTGTATTTGCTTTTGAGAAAATTGTCTCCTGCTGGTCATTGCCCATGTTTTCCCGTTTCACATACACTAGATTGCCTCTCCTCCTTCCCCCGACCAGGGCACATCGTTGTTGGGGATTCCTTGGGGGAGGGAGAGGCTCGTGATTGCCTTTGCGTGTTGAGGAAAAAAATTTTCTGGTTGCGGAGCTTTCGCGGTTTTTCCCAATTACATGTGCCATATACCCCCGCCTTCGCTCGACAGCAAAATTTTCAAGGAAGAGTAGGAACATTTACTGGGAAATTTCGGCCAAACTGGTACGAAGTTAGTGAAAATGAGGAGAACTTAAGAAATGGGTAGGTAAGATGTGAGGGGGGGGTCGTATTCAGAGGAGTGAACTGGAGGGGGAGGTCGTATCTCGCCACTCTTTGGGGGGGGTCGTACGAACACGACCAAAATCCCCAACCAATGATGAGCCCAGCCCCCGACTCCCAGCAGGGGTTTCTGAGGAAATGGTGGAAAATCTTCTTTCTGAGAACTGGGAAAAAAACAGTTAAAAAGCCAGTAGGAAGCAGGGAGAGTATGTAAGATGGTGGGTGGTATGGGAAAGTGTTTCGCAGTAAAGAAGCAAATTTGTGAGGAAGGGGTCGCTTGTTCCA